TAAAGATAATATAATTTTAATTTAATTTATAACTATATAATAATATAATAATTTTTGAACTATAATGTAAATATAAATGAACTATAATGTAATTATAAATGTAATAATTTTAAATCATCAGGATTTAGGATTTAAATTGCTGGTTTAAGATGTCTTTATTCATACGATAAAATCATCCCTAGCATAAAAATATAGAAAAGTTCATCTTTATTATTTTTATTAGATAAATCGGTAAGTTCCGTCCATCTAGCGGCAAGTAGCTATAACTAGGACTGTCGTTAATCTCTGATATCTAAATGAAGCTTAATGATTTGTTTTGACATCTGTCAATAACGTTCAGTACATAAAAGTATACGCTTGCATCAATAACATTGTTTTTTTATTATTGCATCGAAAATGTCAAAATTTGCGAGCCAAATAAGCGTTATTTGGCGCGAAATGATAATCTATTGCTTCAATTAGAAGAAAACTGCAGCTAAAGCTCATCGAATGCTTGTAGAAGTTTACCAGGTATGTATTAGGTGTACAAATGGATAATCCAATTTTTTCAGCTACATTCAAGGTTTATTTTAAAAGAAAGTAAATTAAATTGTTCAATCAAAGTATTCGCCGTTACTTTCTATAACTTTAAGCCATCTTTCAGCCAGCTGATGAATTCCATCTCGGAAAAATGTTACATCTTTGGACACGATAAAGTCGTCAAGCCATTTTCGGATCTCATCCACTGATTGGAAGTGCATATCGGACAAGGCGTGTTGCATCGACCGGAACAAGTGATAATCGGATGGAACAATGTCTGGTGAATACGCCGGGTGCTGCGAGACGTCCCAGCCAAGACTCATTATGGTATCTTTTGTATTGGAAGCAATGTGTGGCCTGGCGTTGCCATGCAACAATTTCACTGGACGTTCTCCTTTGCCAGTATACGGGCGTTTTCGTTCCAATTCTTGACTCAAGCAGATTAATTGACGTTGGTAGCAGTCCGCAGTAACTGTTTCACGCGGTTCCAACAACTCATAATAAGGCACGCCCTTGATATCTCACCAAATGTAGAGAAGAACCTTCTTTCCGATGCGATTGGGTTTTGCGACCGATTTTGATGATTCGCCGGGATTTACCCATGACTTTCTGCGTTTCGGATTGTCATAAAGTATCCATTTCTCATCGCCCGTAACGATTTTCCACAAGAAAGACTTTCGACGCTGCTTATTGAGAAGAGAAAGACACGCTGCCACTCGTTGATTTTTGTTGATTTCAGTGAGTTCATGCGGAACCCATTTTCCTTCTTTCTGGATCTTTCCCATCTCATGTAGGCGTTTGGAAATCGTTTGCTGCGTTATTCCCAACTGTTCTGCAAGCTCTTTTTGTGTTTGTGCCGAATTCTCAGCGAGCATTTGTACCAAATCATCATTATCGCATTTCGGAGGGCCTCCAGGGTGTTATTTGTCGATTAGACTGAAATTACTGCTTTTAAACCGCTTAAACCAAAATGCGTACACATCGTACTATACAATACGTTCGCCGAGAAAGGAGCAAATCGATTCGCACGCTCTTGCAGCATTTTTTCCTTGTTGGAATTCGTAAAGAATGCAGTGTCGCATATGCTTCCTATCCTTATCTGTTGCCATTTTCGACTGTACTGAACTGAATACTTTTGAAGGTTATGTTGGGCCAAACTATATGTTCTTTTTAATAGCTATATGTCAACATTGCATAATCACAAAAGAGCGAGAAAATCTATTCAATTTAAAATTGATTTCATAACTGTTTAAATAATTTGGATTATTCATTTGTACACCTAATAAATATAAAACCGGAATTTTTGTACATAAAATACACGTTTATTATATGAAAATGATAAAAAATCTTTTATTCGAAGTATTGCTCATCGCTAGCTATACATTTTTTCCACTTGTCTGATAATTTGTGGATGCCACGCCAAAAAAACTGTTGCTCTTTTGAGGCAAACCAGTCATCGAGCCATTTTCGTACATTTTCGTAAGAAGTGAAGCGCTGCTCAGCAAGTGCGTGTCCCATCGATGCAAATAAATAATAATCGGACAGAGCCAAGTCTGGTGAGTAAGCCGCATGCGAAAGTATTTCCCAACTAAACGCCTCAATCGTTTCCTCGACTAGTTTTGCTGTGTGTGATGGTGCACTATCATGAAATAAAATTACTTTGTGTTGCCTTTTTTGATATTCTGGTCGTTTTTCACGCAAAGCTTGATTCAAATCGATTATTTGTTGTCGGTAGCGTTCAGTATTAACGGTTTCACCAGGTTTTAGCAGCTCATAATATATTACATCCTTCTGATCCCATCAAACACAGCATTGTCTTCCGTCCATGGCGATTTGGCCTTGCAGTCGATGTTGATGGTTCGCCTGGAGTTACCCATGATCTTTTACGCTTAGGATTCTCAAAATATATCCACTTTTCATCGCCAGTCACAATTCGATGGAGAAATGACTTTCTTTTGTACCTGGCGAACAGCATTTCGCAAGTGGTTTTTCGGTTTTCCTGCTGTCTTTCATTCAGTTCATGTGGAACCCATTTTCCCATCTTCTGGATCTTTCCCATGGCTTTCAAACGTATGGAGACGGCTTCTCGTGTCACATTTAATTGATCCGCGAGTTGTTGTTGCGTTTGAGCGTCATCCTCGTCCAACAATGCTTGCAATTCGCTGTCTTCAAACTTTTTCGGTAGTCTTCCACGTTCTTCACTTCTCACGTAAAAATCGCCACGTTTGAAATTTTTAAATCACTCAAATCACTGCGATTTACCAAGAGCATGTTCACCTTCGAAGCTAAGCTTCGATAAGTATTCGATGCGATTCTGCAGCAATTTTCTTCAAATGGTAACAGAAAATCAATGCTGTCCGCAAATCGTAGCTTCCAGGCACAAAATTTGACATGTTCAACGCTATTACAAACTATGCTGTTGTATGAAACTTGTATTGTTGTGAGTTGAAAATCTTTGTCAGATGTCAACAAATGGAAATGGCGCCAATGACGCGGTTTAACGGTAACTATTGATTGACAGCTAGGGCCATCTATTGGCAAATTCCGGTTTCATATTTATACCTGGTACGGTGATAATGCTCCTTCCGATAAAACATGCAGAGAATGGTTTCGATGCTTTAAAAGTGGTGATTTTGATGTAGAGGACAAAGAACATTCTGGACGGCCAAGAGTATTCGAAGACGAAGAATTGCAAGCATTGGTGGACGAAGATCCATGTCAAACGCAAAACAACTTGCAGAAACATTAAATTGTGCTCAATCTGTCATTTCCGATCATATGAAAGCCTTAGGAAAGGTTTACAAGGAATAAAAATGGGTTCCATATGAACTGAAGGTAAGAAACATTGAAAAGCGAAAAATCACTTGCGAAATTCTGCTTGCTAGGCAACAAAGAAAGAGGTTTTTACATCGTCACTGGGGATGAAAAATGAATTTATTTTGACAACCCCAAATGTCAAAAAACTATTTGCGATTCCGGCCAACCCTCAACATCGACGCCAAAGCGAAATATCCACAGAAAGAAGGCAATGCTCTTTTTTGATGGCATCAGAATGTGCTGTACCATGAGCTGTTGAAAAGTGGTCAAGCAGTCACAGGGGATTTCTACAGAGAACAATGATCCGTTTGAGCCGAGCATTGCACGAAAAATGACTAGAATATGAAACAAGACAGCATAAAGTGATTTTGCTTCATGACAACGCTTGGCCTCACGTCACAAAATCTATCAAGGAAATTAATCAAGGAAATTATCAAGGAAATCTATCAAGGAATTAGAAGCACTTCGCTTGAAAGCGTTACCCCATGCGGCTTATTCACCAGACTGTGCCCCTTCCGACTACCACTTATTTCGGTCGATGGCACACGCACTTGCTGACATATGTTTCAATTCTAATGAAGACGTTGAAAAATGGGTCTCTGACTGGATAGCCTCTAAAGATGAATTATTTTTTCGCCGCGGAATTCACTTGCTGACCGAAAGATGGAAAAAAGTCATCGCTAACGATGGACAATATTTTGATTGATGTACTTTTTCATTTTGTTTCTTAAATAAAGCCATAAGTTTTGCAAAAAAATGGACGCAACTTTCCGATTGACCTAATATATAGTTAATTAGAACAGTTATCTAAAAAATTCTAATATCGAGATTCTGAAAAGTATAGCGTTTCTGTCTTGGTTGTATGCAGAGTGTAACATCATATACAACTAAGTGTAATGAATCATCTACCTATTTTGCTGGTAAGCGTAAACTTACAATAAATAGATATTGTTGCGCCCATATTTTCAAGGGCAAAGATCGGTATGGAAATCAATTCCAATCGTTGGTCTCGGTGAGGACAAGGCATTGGTTGCGTTCAACAGAAAAAACTGCTTTGCAACTGTTGTAAAATTCATGAATCTAATTGGCGTATGCTCTTAAATTTGGCTGGATCTGAAAGCATGCACTAATTAGACTCACGAATTTTACAACAGTTACAAAGCAGCTTTCTCTGCTGAACGTAGCCATTGAGTCCTGTACAAGTGAATAGTAATTCCCCGTGACAACGTATTAATGAAAAGAAACAAGAGAGCACATACAGTCGTCAAATAGGGTTGACATGTTGCGGTTGAGAACGCGAGTTTGTGTAGCGAGGTTAACATTACATCATTTGTACAATTGAATCCTAATTAAACGTTCATAGTTTAACTCTCTTGACGTTAACCCTTAATTAACTCTTCAAACGTATTATTTGTCAATACTTTTATTAACAAGCAAGCTAAACGATATATTTAATTGAATGTTGTGCAAGTGTTGGGTATCGCCAAAATCCATTAAATCCACACTGAAACCACTAACTGCCAGTAAAACAAATAGATAACCTATCATACTGATCTATATGTGATGCAATATCCTGTATAAGTATTACTTAGGAGATAAGTGACTTATAAAAATGTTGTTTATTTATAAAAAAGTCTTTATTTAGACATTTTCTTAATTTTCAGTCCTAATAAGAAACGAAAGTCTGGAAATACTCAACATCAGCGGCTGTGAATTAAGTTCAGCAGCCGGCATAGCGCTTGCTCAGATGTTCTCTTCCGGTTGCGTGAAACTAGAAGCTTTAGATCTCGATGTGTCGAACAACGATTTTGGACCAGCCGGTATAGCCTTAACAATAATGTCCTAATTTTTGTTAATTTATGAAGCTTTAGAAATTTCAAAATCATCAAATTAACAAAAGTCAAGGCGCTATTATAACAATACATTCTTGAGACCAAATAGAGTAAAAAAGCCTAATACTATTTTTTCTTCTGACAAATAGTTAGTGAGATATAGTATAAGTTAAATATTGAAAAAGTTACCAAATTTTCCTTAAATATCTCCAAAAATATTAGGCAAATAGAAAAATGTTTCAGACAAAAGTTGTTCAAATTAATTGATAGAAAAAGATGATATAATAAAAAGTAGGGGTTCCCATTTAAGAAAAGTAATAATCAGTGAATATCTCGAAAGTGATACCATCTGTAAACAAACTGATATAGTTGTTTTGTATCCTTGAAACCATACAACTTTTGTCTGAAATATTTTTCTCTACGACCACTCCCTGCAAAGTTCAGAAGGGTGATCAATTAAAATTGGACACCCTGTATAGGGTGTCTGACGTTATATACAATGGTCGTGTGCAGATAGAACATATAAAATTGAATATAATGTTCATTACTACTTCTAAACAATTATGCAAAGTTTTGCACATAAGTATTATTATATCTTGTGTCAGATATCTTATACATACTAGGTGCGCAACTATTAAAGTTTCCGGGTTTTTTTGATCAATGAAAAATGGAAAATTTCAAGAGAAATACAAAAAATAGTTTATTCAAAGTATCATCCCTCGCTAGATATACATTTGTGCCATCTCTCTGGCAATATATAAATACCGCGACGATAAAACGACGCGTCTTTGGATCGAAACCATTCATCCAACCAATTTTGCACTTCTTCGAAATTGGCCAAGTGTTGCCCAGCCAAGCCATGCGCTATCGACCGGAACAAGTGATAATCGGAAGGGGCCAGGTCTGGCGAATACGGCGGGTACGGTAGCAGATCCCATTTCAGCGTTTCGATAGTGTCCTGGACGATGGAAATGCGATGGAGCGTTGTCGTGCTGCAATATCACTCATTCGTGTCTCGTGTCCCATTCTGGCCGTTTTTTGAGCAATGCATGGTTCAAATTGATCAGTTGTTGTCGGTAGCGATGCCCATTGACAGTTTCGCCCGGTTTCAGCAGCTCATAGTACACGATTCCTTTCTGGTCCTACCAAACGCAGAGCATTCTCTTCTTTCCGAAGCGATTTGGCCGTGCCGTCGATGTTGATGCTTCGCCAGGTGAAAGTCACGATTTTTTGCGTTTGGGATTCTCGAAATATATCCACTTATCATCGCCAGTAACAATTCGATGCAGGAAACTCTTTCTTTCATGCCGCAAAAGCAAAATTTCGGAAGTGGCTCTTCGATTTTCCATCTGTCTCTCAGTCAACTCATGCGGCACCCACTTTCCTTCCTTTTGAATTTTTCCCATGGCATGTAAACGTTTGGAAATACCTTGGCAAGTCACGTTTAATGCGTCCGCAAGTTGATCTTGTGTTTGCGTATCATCTTCATCCAATAACGCCTGCAGATCGGCGTCCTCAATTAGTTTTGGTCTTCCGGAGCACTCCTTGCCCTCAGTGTCGAAATCGCCACTTCTGAAGCGTTTAAAGCAATCTTCACAGGTAGTTTTCGACGGTGCATGTTCGCCGTAGGCCTCCTCAAGCAAACGTCTTCAGCTGCACTTTTTTTCAAGTTAAAGCAGAAAAGCAAAGCTTCCCGCAAATGCTGTTTATTTGGCACAAAACTCGACATCTTGTTGTTAGAAAAAATATTTTTGCGTTGCGATATGTGTTGGTATTACGACTTGTTAACAGATGTCCAAGCTATAAAAAAACACAACTTCTGACATGTACGAGGGCGGTCCGATAAGTACTTAGCCTCACCGCCCGATGGCGCCACTATCGCAAGAGAAATTTACTATCGTGTAATACATTCTCGTAGACGGCTACTGTCGAAATTTCAGCCGAATCGGACTCGTAGTTTTGTTTTGACCGCGTATGGAAGCGGGCGTGTCCGCGGATTTTAGAAAAATGGAAAAAGAGCAATATCGGTCGGTGATTCGATTCTTGTTTTTGGAAGGGAAATTACGCAGCGAAATCAAAGAGCGCTTGGATACTGTGTACGGTGACTCTTCTCCTTCGATGGCAAAAATTGTTTTAACGAGTTTCAACGTGGTCGCACGTCGGTTTTTGATGAGCCACGCCCAGGTGCCCCGAAAACGGCTACCACGGAGGATAACATGACAAAAATCCACGATCTCGTATTGGCAGACTGCCGATTGAAGGCGAGATAGCTGAGACAGTAGGCATCTCAAAAGACCGCGTGGGTCATATCCTGCATGAAATTTTGGGCATGAGAAAGCTGTCGGCGCGATGGGTGCCGCGTTTGCTCACTCCGGACAACAAGCGCAACCGTGAGACCACTTCAGAGCAGTGTTTGACGCTGTTTAAACGCAATCCGAAGGAGTTTCTGCGTCGTTTCGTGACCGTCGACGAAACATGGATCCACTGGTACACACCAGAGACCAAGGAACAGTCGAAACAGTGGACTTAATCCGGCGAACGTGCTCCGAAGAAGGCGAAGACTGTCCTATCGGCCGGAAAGGTGATGACCACCGTTTTCTGGGATTCACAAGGTGTGATCTACATCGACTACCTGGAGAAGGGCAAAACGGTCACAGGGCTGTACTATGCCGAATTATTGGGCCGATTCGACGCCGAATTGCAGAGAAAACGGCCCCATTTGATGAAGAAAAAAGTGCTCTTCCACCATGACAACGCACCGGCTCACACCTCCGCCCTCGCCACGATCAAATTGGTCGAATTGGGCTACGAACTGCTGCCCCATCCATCGTATTCTCCAGATTTGGCCCCGTGCAACTTCTTTTTGTTTCCAAACTTGAAAAAGTCACTTGCCGGGCAGAAATTTGAGTCGAATGAGGAGGTCATCGCCGCCACGGAGGCCTATTTTGCAGACCTCGAGAAAACGTATTTTTCAGACGGGTTAAAGAAGTTGGAGCATCGCTGGGTCAAGTGTATCGAGCTAAAAGGAGACTATGTTGAGAAATAAATCGCCACTTTTCCAAAATTTTCGTTTTTCTTTTGTAGGCTAAGTACTTATCGGACCACCCTCGCATGTCGACTACATGTGTCGTTAGCGCCATCCATGTGTGAAACCCGGAAACTTAGTTGCGCACCTAGTATATAACGATTTCAATAATAAATTGATATATTCTTCAACGATCTGCACTTCAGTATAAAAACAGCAATAAAATTGTTGCAGTTGGAGAGTTGTTCGAGGTAGTCGTGAGGTCATGTCCGTATATTATCCACTTGGACGGGCGAATGTGCAATTTCTCGATAGAATCGGAGTACTCGATCAATGAGGATGTGTACAGGTAAGACCTGAGTAAATTTGTTACGTTCAAAGGACCCCGCACAAACCTTATGGAAATTGGGTGCCGGTGAATTTGTCTGAAACTTTGGGAAATGGTAGCTTCCGTCACGCTGATAAAAGTTATCATTGCACCAAATTGATTTATAGCGTCGTTTAGGCGCTAGTGTTGTTTGAAAGTCAGGAATTGTGCGGTATTCTATGGGTAGCATGAGTAGCATATCAGCTGCATATACATATATACATGTATACATGTGTGTGTGTATATGTATGTGTATATGTTTGTGTATATGTATGTACGTATGCATGTATGTGTTTTCATAGAAATAGAACAATAATTATAATATATTTTTTAAGAAGTTTCACCATCGGCATTAGCATTACTCAATGTACCACGTGGAGGTTGCCCAATCGGAATTTGTACATCTTGTGGCCCTGAAAAGGACCGGTTTTATTGTGACTCTGAAAATAGCCGGTTTTATTGTGGCTCTGAAAAGGGCCGGTTTTATTTGTATTCATTTTAACTATTCACTCAAAATATTCATTTTTTAAATTAAATGTCTTGCCACTAATATTGTATATAGAGCGAATACCTATGTACGAGGGCAGTTTGATAAGTCAGTGACTTTTTGAATTTTCCGCACAGTAACTTTAAATGCAACACTGCTCCCGTCAACTGCCATCTATTAATAGACTACTGTACAAGTTTGGGCAAGCTGCGCCATTTAGTTAGTGTTTGACAGCCATTGAAAGCAGACAACCTCGTGAATTTTAACGAAAATGAAAAAAAGTGAATTTCGTGTGCTGATTAAGTATTATTTTTTGCGTAAAAAAACCATCACCGAAACCAAGGCAAAGCTTGATAAATACTATGGGGACTCTGCACCATCAATTTCAATGGTTAAGAAGTGGTTTACTGAGTTCCGTTGTGGTCGTACCAGCACAAGTGACACCGAACGTTCAGGTCGCCTAAAAGAGGTCGTCACGCCAGAAATCGTCGATAAAATCTATGGAATGATATTGGACGATTGGAGAATGAAAATGCGTGAAGTGGCTGAGGCTGTAGGCATCTCAACTGAGCGGGTACATCACATTTTATATGAATATTTGGACATGAAAAAGCTATCCGCGCGATGGATGCCGCGATTGCTCACACTCGACCATAAGCGCAACCGTGTGACCATTTCAAAGGAGTGTTTGGCGATGTTCAGCCGCAATCCGAACGAGTTTTTGCGCCGTTTCGTTACCGTAGACGAAACATGGATCCATCACACCACACCAGAGACCAAGGAACAATCAAGACAGTGGGTTTCTTCGGGTGAACGTGCACCAAAGAAGGCCAAGGTGGGTCTGTCGGCCAACAAGGTCATGGCCACAGTTTTTTGGGATGCACGCAATATCATTCACATCGATTACCTTGAAAAAGGTAAAACGATCACCGGCGAATATTATTCAGAGCTTTTGGACAGATTCGATATTGATTTGAAGCAAAAACGACCGCATTTGGCGAAAAAAAAGTGCTGTTCCATCAGGACAATGCACGGGTGTGCACACGTGTGTAGTCACCATGGCAAAAATCCATAAATTGGGCTACGAACTGCTACCCCATGCAGCATATTCACCAGATTTAGCCCCCTGCGACTATTTCCTGTTTCCAAACCTGAAGAAATGGCTGGGCGGTAAGAGATTTGGGTCGAATGAAGAGGTCATCACTGAAACAAACGCCTATTTTGAGGGCCTTGAGAAAATCTATTATTTGGAAGGAATAAAAAAATTGGAGAAACGGTGGACTAAATGTATCGAGCTAAAAGGAGACTACGTTGAGAAATAAAACGCTTATTTGCCGAAGAAAATATCTTTTATTAAAAAAGTCACTGACTTATCAAACTACCTTCGTATAATGAAGATATATATGGAGTGCACCCATCCGTACATACACACATACATGAACACATATACATATATACACATATATATGACATATATATGACACATACACGCATACACACATACATATACACACACACACATACATATATACATGTATATACGTATATACAGCTGATATGCTACCCATGCTACCCATAGAATACCGCACAATTCCTGACTTTCAAACAACACTAGCGACTAAATGATGCTATAAATCAATTTGGTGCAATGATAACTTTTTATCAGCATGACGGAAGCTACCATTTTCCAAAGTTTCAGACAAATTCACCGGGACCCAATTTCCATAAGGTTTATGCGAGGTCCTTTGTGGATTCAAATTATTTGGTTATCGAGCAAAATAACATTCCACTTGATAAAACTTATTGAATTTTCGGGCATCGCGCAGTTCTCAACTTTCGACCAAGAACCGTCTACCTTTATTTCAATCAGGATTTTTGTTTCTGCGCACGTACATACGACGCATGTGTATGCAGGATATACTATAAATAAACTATACTTAATTAACTTAAAAGAAAGAAATAGAGAGATAGAAAGAGAGAAAATGAGGAGAAGGTAAAGTGAGAAAGAAAATATCAAAAAATTAAGCAAATCGAAGATTTGGTGAGCCTTACTACTAAATTTATATAGTCGTAGATCTATAAATTTCTTTGACGCTTCGAAGTCGCCAAAAATTTTGCACCCATTTTATCGCGTATGATTATAACGCACCTATATATCTATACATACGTATTTTGTACGTATATATACAAGGTGTCCCATTGTAAATAGTCAATCCAAATATCTCGAAAACTAAGCCCGATAGGCAAAAATGTCTCAAACAAAAGTTGTATGGTTTCAAAGAAGACATAAAACAACTATATCGGTTTGTGTACAAATGGCGCCATTTACAAGATGTTCACTGATCATTACTTTTCTTAAATAGAAATTTCAATTTTTTATTATATCATCTTTTTCTAACAATTAATTTGAGCAACTTTTGTCTGAAACATTTTTTCTTATTTGCTTAATATCTTTTTAGATATTTAAAGAAAACTTGGTAACTCTTTCAATATTTAACTTACGACATCTCCCTAACTATTTGTCAGAAGAAAGAATAGTACTAGACTTTTTTATTCTATTTGGTCTTAAGAATATATTGTTACAATATACCCTAACTTTTGTTAACTTATCAACTTTTGGAAATTTCAAAATCATCAAATTAATAAAAGTCAGGACTATTGTAACAATATATTTTTAAAACCAAGGAGAATAAAAAAGTCTAGTACCATTCTTTCTTCGAACAAACAGTTAGCGAAGTAAGTTAAATATTGCAAAAGTTATCAAGTTTTCCTTAAATATCTCAATAGATATTAGGCAAATGAAAAAATGTTTCAGAAATAATTGTTCAAATTAATTGGTAGAAAAAGATGGTATCATAAAAAATTCAGGTTTCTATTTAAGAAAAGTAAGATCACTGAATATCTCGAATGTAGCGCCATTTGTAAACAATCCGATATAGTTTTGTTTTATGTCCCACTTGAAACCATACAACTTTTGTCTAAAACATTTTTGTCCATCAGTCTCAGTTTTCGAGATATTCGGATTAACTGTTTACAATGGGACACGCTGTATACTTTAGGATTTATTAGGCATGTAAAGAGAATTTCGTTACTACCGTTGAGAGAACTCGCGAAATGTACGTGCTCATTTTATAAATTCCGGATAATTCAAGTTTGCAATATGGATTAAATTCCATATGTTATCTACTTGGATTATCCCGGAGTAATTAATTATTTGTACGTTATTACCTATTCGGTTTCTCTTGTTAAATTGTTATTTAACTTTGCGAGAGATGAGAAAGCGCTCAGCTGCTCTGCGTTTCACTCTTCTCATTCCCAATTTTACCCCAATTTCGCAAAGAACAAACGGTAAGAAATTGGCATTATTAATTTCTTCGATATTGAGATTCTATCCTCAACTCAGCGGCATCGCAAGATCGCTGTCAGGTGCCGCCAAATCGTAGGCTGTGTTTGCAAACGTTATTACACTCGAAAGGGCAACACGATTACTGCCGGAATGGAATAGGTCGTCAACTTCTCAAGTGTAAGCAGCCCGACAAGGACAATGAATCTTGCCGTATCTGGCAACATGCCAATCGTTCTACAAAAGCTAATCTTTTTTCTTTTTTTACGGAGCAATGTCCTCACCCCTCTCTTTCCACCTCCGAAATATCGTAGTCAATGAATGTTACGTTAAAATAGTTAATCCATCAATCTATTTTCCTACGAATCTTTTCAAATTTTAACAACAGTCAACAATAAATCAAAATATGAGCTATACATATATATATATATATATATACAAGGTGTACCAAAAGTCTGGGAACGGTCGAATATTTCATAAATTATGCATTTTAGAAAGAAATGTTTCAGACAAAAATTATTTGGTTCGAGGAGAGACATAAGACGGTGTCATTAGATTGACCTTGAGTGAACGTTCCAATGTCAAACGGAGTTCAACCTTGTTTTTTTAAATGGAACCCCCTATTTTTCATTGCATATTCTTGTAGTTCATCTCGAGAGCTTTCCAAAATATTATAAATAAGTTACATTTTATTGAGCATTTTACGAGTTATGGGGCTTAAATGTTACAATACCGCCGGCATTAGCCAAGGTATATCGCGTGGAAGTTGCACAATCGGATTTACACCTCTTGTGTATGTGTGTGTGTGTGTGTCACAGCAGAGATAAGCAGCTACTTGTTCAAAGGATCTAACGTGATCACCATATCCTCGCATTATTCGCAGTAATTCTTTCTGAAAAGAATCGACAGAAGATGCAATGAATGCGGACTGTAGACTAGGGAAAGATTCAAATATCGAAATTATTATACTTTTCATAGTTCTTTTCCAATAAAAGTCTTGCTACATTAATCGTTCTGATTTGGCCTGTAATCGAACGTTTTCCTATCCTGGATACATTCAGCTCTTCGTATTATGACAGACTACCAAACAACTGAATGAAATTTCAATGGCATCCAGAATGGTATTGTCTGAAAGAGAAAAATTACTTTACTGATGATGCGAGGATATGGTGACCACGTTAGATCCTATGAACAAGTAGCTGCTTTATTTAACAATACTTATCCAGATCGTGAACCGATTTCGAAGTCTACAGTCCAGAAAACGGTCAGACGATTTGATGAAACAGGATTCGTTAAGGACCGACAACGCACTGGCAGACCAAAATTAGCGACAAACTTGGATAAGAGTTTTGAAGTGATGCAAACATTCGTCGAA